GGTTTGAATTTACACAAATAAATTGGTTTCTAGTATTACGATAACGGCATTTTGATGTCTATTGTCGACGTTTCGCCGTTATAATGAGTTTAGCTCTAAGCCGACGATATAATATCAATAATTAAAACACTGCGATTCGGTAAACGTTCGACACTTGAACTAGACTCAAATCGATTTCGCCCAACTCGAATATTATTTAATATTTTACATTCTGGTTTCACTAAGATGTTTATTTCTTTTTTGTTTCTTTGTTCTAGTCTGTGGACACGTTTTTTCCTAGCGAACTTGCTCCGATTTTTACGTGTAGCAACTTTTCTAAGAGCTCAAGTTGTCTAGATGGTCCTTTATGCATGACATGTTTTGTTTTTCGACGCGATTTTTTAAATAAAAGCACTTAAGTGGGAAAAAAACACAGGAAAACGTATAATTTCACGATTTCATTATTTTATAAAAACACGGACGACATTTTCTACCAGAAAAATTACCCTTCTTTTTGCCTTTTGATATACTTTCTGACGGTAATCATCGCCAAAACTTTAGAGCTTTTAAGGAATTTGAATTTTTGGGTATTTTTTTTGCTATAATTCGGTTATAAATACACGTAGAGACTTGAAATTTGGTAATAATACTCATATTGGAATTGCCTAAACGTGATGAAATTTCCAAAATCATCAGACGACTTTTTTTTTTTATAATAAGCGTTTTGAAATCAAATTTAAACGAAAATCACAAAAATTATGTATTACCGAACCGCGCTCGGAATCGCCTTTCATCAAGCAATGGTTTATCGTTGCTTACAGATATAAATGAAATGACCTTATGTATCCTATTTTCCCAACTTTTGACCTAAAACAGTGGCCGCTCCCATCCCCAGTGTCAACTATTTTTTTTTAAATTTTTTTTTTTATATCGTCTCTTGTTGTTCGCACGCGGATGACACACGCACACATTCGCGCAACTGAAACCTGTTTTAGTATATGGGACCTTTTTATTTTTTTCTCTCCATTTTCCCGGCACACGACGACAGCGACGATACCGCGACCCGGCGACTGGGACGGGTCGTCACGACGGAAAACGGAACGTCGCGGCCGCCATCTGGCCTCTTCTTCGTATTATAGTCGCCGTCACCGCAACAACCCGGGACCGAACGCGGCCTTTTTCCCCTCTATAAATTACAATAATAATAATAATACATTTACTCTTCCACGCGTACATATCTACCGTCGTTATCCGTCACTCGTCGTCTGCGGCCGTCCTCGTGCACACCACCCCCGCAAACGTCGTGTTTTTGTTCGCGCATATAAATATATGCCCGTCTATCGTGTAACAATTAGGTTCGCGACACTGTTGGCCGTGCATCAACGACTACCAAAACTCCGGCAATGCGGTTTGTCTTCCTCCTCAACGACGACCACCTCCGTGTGTCACCCGGCCACCGACGACGATTACCACAATAATATCATACCTATACTATTACAGTATTATTATATCGTTTTTAAAACCGGGAATCGAGATTTACTATTTTTATACGCCCTCGCGGTGTGCTCTCGTGTACACATACCGATTTCCGGTTGACAATGATCCCGCCGCTGTCGCACCGACACCGCGTCATCCCAACCCCCACACAGAACTCGTTATCGAAAATGTCATGTAGACTCGTATGCGTTGCAATGTCGCGAGTATTTTAAAAACTTTTTCCCTCTATCGATATACCAACCTATAATCATAATAATAATAATATTATCTCATCGCGTAAAAAGAACTCGCGTTTTTTTTTTCTTTTTTATGTTATCCGTATTCCCCTCCCCCCTCCATTATATCGTCGTATCGAGTCTGCTCGTGGACCCCACCGTTATTATTTATTATAATAGTATCTGATTATAGTTTCGCAGGAGAACGACTATAATAACCATATTATGCGTTTTACAATAAAAAGATATTTTAATAATACTGTCGAATACTGTAAATCGAAAAAAAAAAACGATTCTGATATTTTATTATGTATACTTAAAACTTTCTTTCTGATACTTACATCGACTATCGCGACTACATTAAATTCTCCGGTCGTTCGCTAATCGCGTACTAAACGCGTATTAAACGAAAATTAAGAATTTAATAAAAGTTAAAAATAACATTATTCGAGTAAGATACGAACGAAAATCGATTTTAACCGATTGTACAGTAGGTATCTATTCCTGTTTTTATTTTCCTGGCGTGTGAGAAAATCCCCTAACCCCTAAAAACATTATTAATTGCTCTTCGATTCCAGCGTTCAATTACGCTTAAAAGTCGTAAGGACTCCTACTATATTGTGTTATAGTATCCTGCCAACCGGCCGAAAGACAATTATAAACGAGTAGTAGTCGTATACACGTAATATAATTATTGCTCCGTTTGGGGCGTGCCCGTAGCGACCCTCATATAATAAAGAAAAAAAAATATATTACAAAAGAAAAGTATAGCGTATATTATATGATATTCGGTGATTATTCAATCCGAAAAAAAAAAACCGATTACTTATATTTATACTTCCACCGGCAGGGCGCGGCCCATTATCGGAAACAATAGCCTCTTCGGAATTATCACATAACATATTACCCTAGCTGTTATTATCTATTATTTATTCAAGCGCATATTCATATTGGAAAAATCTAAACGAAAACAGTGGGCTACATGTACGAACGGGGGTTGTCCTGGAATTATTCTTCCCGGAGTGGGTGTTTTGGGCCTATAGTTTAATTAAAAATATACTCCGAGTCTAAAACAAAAACTCATTATTATATACTATAATTGAGATTTCGTAAAAAAGAAAAAAGAGGTTATTATAACAACGAGATATTCAAAACGGAATGTGTATTTCAGAATGTTATACGATGCACAACATTTTGAGTGAAAACGGATTGAACGAATGACATGTTTTGTCATTTAATAAGAAGTCACAGTCGAAATTCAACAACCTATACGATGTGTACTGCACAGTATAGGAATGCACCTATTGTACATTATTATAATAAAATTATAGCGCCACACTTTTTTAGTTTACAACTCACTCAACCCTATAAAAAGTATTTTCTATTTATCACCTTGTCCATATAGAGTATTTACCTATAATGACGCGCTCAGGAGGGAGAGGTTAGAGTTAATATCCCTCTCACCCATTGGCATAAAAATACAACAAAATATGAGTAATCTAATATCGAAACCCATTAATTTCGGCCAATTTCCGAGAAAAAACTTGATGTATTAATTAAAATTGTTTTTTTTTTTTTTTTTTAGGATCCGACTTTTAAATTACTAATTCTCATATTCGAGTTGGGTAGAGAAGATAATTTTACTCTTTTATCGAGATTTTTATTTGTTACATCCCTGGCCATTACACGCCACTGCCTGCCTATATGGGGAATCCAAAACGGGTCCTTTCATCGACATAATCCACGATGTTTTCACTAACCGCGATATACCTACTTATTTTATAGAAAATACACAATTTAAAATATGTTTTATAAATGACGTAAACATATACACATTAAATATTATAATAATAATATGTACTTTCTTTAATCGAAATGTATACATAATAATTACCATGGAAATTATTGTTATAATACACGATCGTAATAATAATAATAAAAAAAAAAATCATATTTTTTTATTATGCGATGATTTATGATTGAAAAAAATATATATAAAATATAAAACCGCATTCGTTATGAATATACGTCTATATTAAAAAAAATAAAAAAATATTACGCTCGCGTATTATTTATTTATTTTATTACGTCCCGGAGGGACAGACAATAATTATTATTAGATATCAGAAAAAAATGTAGATTTACGAAAATGACAAAATCTGTATGTACTTGTAATAATACCTATGTATTACAATAGTATAGTAAGTCATAAATTTAACACGATAATAATAATTAGGTTTAAGATTTATGATTGAAACCGAAAGAAAAAAATACATACTGTACGTACAGTATTTATACTTCACAGGAGACACGAGTGATTTAGATGTGTGACTCTTAACTTCAAACATTTAAGACACAGTCGATAAAATTCGAAGTTATGTATTTACAATAAGTAATATACCAGTATAATAACACGAAACAGTAAAATTGAAGACCTTGGCGCAACAACTGCGGATAACTCCCCGTTTTGAAATTGTCCAAGAACAAACATAAAACTTTAAAATCCGGAACACGGTTATTCGGTTGAACTGGTATATTTTACTAATTAACACGGTCGGCGGGTAGATATGAAATATTGCAACAAACAATAAGAAACAGTATGACCCAATATTCTGGGACAACAACCTAATAACTCCGGATTTATCTGGTTGTTGTTGCTCCCGAGATTTTAAAACAAGATAAATCCAAATTCATTTAAAACCATACGCACGTACATATATACATTATATATTTATTAATTTGTTTATCGGTTTTATTGATCGATAGAGAATTTTTTATTTTTTAAAATTATGCCATCAAAACAAGTGAATTTTCGAAAAAATTAGCGCAATTGCCACACTCTCCAAGGTCGTCGATTAGAGTATACAACACGGGATTATCATTACAATATATCATATTATCATATAACTATCATATTATCATATTTTGACTTTCAGTTATCTGGATTAATATCAATATGTTATGATTGTATTCCGTGCATTGGGACATATTTGGCAGTGTTTGGTAAGATATAACCAGTATTTTTTTCTAGGCTAAAGTTAATTTTCAATTATCTATAGATAACATCAAAATAGAACCATGACAATAAAATATAATGTATTAAGCTAATTCATACAATTAACATTATTGTCAAATAGTATTCAAACTATAATTAAAATACTCGAGGTCCTAGTAGCATTGATTAAGTATACTCAATCACTGTTGGTAAGTCTATTTAATATACATTTTTCGAATATAAAAAAAAAAAAAAAAAAAAAAAACAAGTATTTGTAAAACCATAATAATGATGATGATGTAATTTACTTACTTAATATCTATATATAATCTACACGCATAAAATAAACATAATTCGAACGACAGAGATAAAATAATTAGGTTTTATCTAGATACTAGATAGTATATAATATGGTTTTCTGGATTATCTTTGTTGTCTAGATTGTAAATAGATATTTGTATCTATATAGGTAATTCCAAACACTGATCATAACAGATACGTGAAAATCGGTTTTCCCCCGAAAAATAATATTCGGCGGACAATCGATACGATCATCTTATGGAAAGTACATACTCTTATCAATAGTAGGTACTTGTGTACACAGGCACAGTATCAGGTTTATAACAAATTGTTATTGTTTAACTGTGTATGATATTATTAGGTATATTTATTTTTTAATAACCCCGCAATCGCTGCAGACGAAATAACTTTCAAAAATAATTCCACAATGTTGTAAAATATTTAACTCAAAACTATATTATAATATTGTCTAGGTAGGTACACGTATCTGGCTCTCCGGAAATCCTTTTGTGCGTTAATCGGGTTTTTTTTTCGTCTGTCGGATCGAATCACGCGGTCTCTACAGTGTCATAAGAATTTCAAAGTCCATAATCCTAAATATATAGGTAATATCATTTTGAGAGAATGCGCCACGACGGAAGATAATAAAATAAACGTCATATTGTTACGCGTCTAAAAAAAAGCGGAGGACAAAAAAAACGCATTGCCACAAACGATTAAATATTTCTGTTCGACCGCAACGCTGCCACACCACCACCGTTTATACTTTTTTTTTTGTATTTTTTTTCTTAATATTAAAACACTTTTGAAATATTATATAATCTCGATATTACTGTTTATCATTAATATAACCGTTGAAGTGTCGTTGCTGCAGTAGACGCAGATACAATAAAAAATGAATTATTTCGATTTTTTAATATATTAAATGTTTACAAACACCTTTTTTTTTTTATTATTATTATTTTCTTCGTGTCGTTGGAATTTCTTTCCCCCTTTTCGAAAGCTTAATGTTGTGAGAGCTTTAATGTAAAAGGAAATTCACCATTTACACTTAGAGGGTAGTGAAAAAAATAAAACAAAATACAACATCATTTTTATCACCTCTGCAGTATACACGGTGTTAAACTTATAGTTTTGAGTTTTAAGATTACGTAATATACGATAAATATAATATATTATGCACATTGCACGCAAGTGTCAGAAAAAATAAAAATATTACTATTGTTCTTAAGCAGTTTTTATAATATAATTATTTTCGTTGACGTAGAGAATAAACCTTTGGATATTGTTGTTTATAATAACATGTACTTGAATAATTTTTTTTACTAATCAAAATACCATGTTTCAAATGTAATATATGTTTGTTTAACTATATTTTAATTTGATTATCTGAAACATGATTATGTGACATTTTTTTTTTATAATTAATTAAGTATAACTTATTATACTGTATTTAGATGTGATCGTAATAGCTATACTAGTAAATTTTATAATGTTGCTCTCATTGCCATTAATTGTTTGTGATTTATCACCTACCACAATCAATAATATTGAACATTTATTTGTCAAATTCCATGTCAAAAAATGTCATATTTTTATTTGTGCAGTATATATTTCTCCTAATAGCCCAGTTTCCATTTATGAGTCTTTTATGTCAGCTGTCCAGACTATTATCTCTCTCAATCATATTTGGGTATTCATGATTTGTGATGACTTCAATATCTCTGATACCACATGGTCGAATGACGACTATAGCTTAATCTATTACTCGTCTTCTGGCCCTAGAGTGCAGTGTGTCTCTGATATATTTGCTTTCAATAATTGTTTTCAACTCAATGGGATCTCGAATCCTTTTTGTAGTTTTTTTGATCTATATTATCTAACAACTCCATTATTTTGGTGAATAAATCTGAAATTATCTCTATTCCGTCTGATCCTTATCACCCTGCTCTTGTAATTAAATTTGCCATTAGTTGGAACCTTCCACTTCTTGATAACTCCCATAAAAATTGTAATTCCATGGTATCCTGACATATGTTCTTTTCTTGTGTCTTTCAACTATAGTGTCTCTTGATGTGGGTCAGGCTACTAATGCATTTTGTTTTTGAGGTTACATACAGTCCGTCTGAATTCCTTCTATGGTTTTCTAAAAACCTCAAATCTACAGTCTTCGCTAAAAAGCACGTTCATGTAAAATATAGTGTCCCGTTGTTCCAGAGATTATAACGAGTTTTCTAATTTCCGGTTCCATTATAAATTTGAGTACGAAAATTGTTATAAAACGTCCTTAAATTAAACGAAGTATTAACTTAAAGCTGATCCGCGGTCTTTTTTGGAATTTTTTTGGAGGAATAAATTCTGTAACGGGATTTTATATACTGTACATTTTGATGAAAAGATTGACTAGCAAATAGTTGCTAGCCTATTAATCTTCCTATTTTAGCACCGTATATACTGCTCCCTCTTCCAACAAAATTCCTGATATTTCTTTCTCTCATTTTAATCTCCCAAGTAACTGTTCCTTTTCCATAAATTATGTCGAACTTAGTTTATCTGAGTTAGAAACTTCGAATTCTGCCGGTCCTGATGTTCTGTCAGTTTCGTTTTGATAAGTATTAAGGACTGCAATTTGTTGTTACCATTTTTCATGTTTTTTTTTTTTAAATTTATTATTACCATTTGTTATTTAAATCTATTCTATTGTTTGCTTACTTTAATGATTATGCTTTATTGTTCTAATTTATTTATTACTGTAAAATGTATTGTTCTATTGGGCTCCAAGCCCGTTAAAAAATAAATAAATAATAAAATAAAGATGTGGAAAAACTAAAATTCGTTAAAAACGGTTTAGTAAAATTTGCACAATCGTGTGCAACCCTTAGCTATTAAAATCTATCCGTAGTGTAGAAGTCTAACAAATAATAGTCGTTTTAGGAAGAGGAAGGGAAGATAGTTCCAACGTAATAAGGAAAGCAATATTTTTTTTAAACCACTATAGTAATCCATATGACCTTAGTAATAGGTACACCTAATAATATAGAGTATACTAAATCACTGAAACTGTACCTACATATTTTATATATATACGTATATACTTATATATATAAGCACAAAGCACAATCATACTATAATATTGTACTGTAATAATACAGTAATATTTATAATTTTAGCGATGATTTGTTTATTTTTTACAACGTATTATTCAGTTTTTCGGAAATTAAAAAAAAAAATATCTTAAATATGAATACAAAAACTTCTTACCTCCCCAATTATTTCCGAAAAATCCACTTTAAAAAAATATTCCCTCACACCCAATTCTTCAGGGAACCCTGTTTTTAATGAAATCAATATAATATCTTTGCACTAAACGAAATATGATAAACAAATTTAATAAAAAAATAGAAATCAGCAAACTATAGAAAAGCTGCAATAAACAAAATAAAGTGTATATTACAAACTGTACATAATAAAATATAATTTATGGCGCTAAACGAATACAATTTAAAAATAATATTATATAATATATAAAACGAGGACAGTGAAAGAATTCAATGGATGGGGACGTAGTAAATAACCGTCGTGTATGATTCATGAAATCTTGTTTTATTTTACCTGACTCCGGGACAATGAGAATCTAAAAGCCAGATCCGAAAAAGCTAATTTTTATTTAAAATGGCAAGATAAACTTTCTGAATAAACGCTCGTATAGTCGTTGTATTTTCAGGCTATTGTGGACGAGGTAGGATAAACCCCTAACCTCCTCTCCCCCTCTGAACACACGCCTTCGTACGGAGAAATCCCGATTACGTGCAAATGAAATATAATAACAGTCGTCATCTGGAAAAAACGCAAAAAACCGGGTCTTTAGCCGTTTTACGTGATATTATTCAATATTCGTCATTTTCTATTCTTCGTAATCGGTTTTCGGTCACACGATCACAATACGTATATTATTATGACGCACGCTTAACAATCGTGGATTTTTTTCGAGAGGCGAGTCGTTAATATTTCAGTCGTTAAACGAGGACGCGACGACTGAGTACAGGTAACCGCACAAAAACTCGTGTTTTTTTTTTATTATTTTTTTTTTTTAAATATAATCTTTTTTTCCTCGTCTTCGAACTTCTCTCCGGGTCTCGGGGAACGCGATGAAGACCATGGGGGAAGGATTTTTTGCTTTATAACTCTCCGTACTACAACTATTATACACAACAACAAACTGCTACGCACACACGATTTTACGATTTATCTGAGACACGCGGTCTCCGAGGCGGCCTTCCGGCGGCGGCGACCCCGCAACAAATAAGAACAATACGTATAAATAATTGTCATGAAGTCGGTTTTTTTTTTCTAGTCGCGGGAATATTCGTGTGTACATGCGAGTAGGTATATTATTATAATAGCGACCGACGTTGACGTGGTCACGACCGTCCGAAAAATGTCACGGAGAAATCTATGATTTTTATCGTCGCGTTCTCTCTGTAACCGCTACGGCAGTATATAACTATATAATACACATACACGCATAAAAAATAAAAATATATATTAAGTAAGTATAAGTACCTACACCTATATATAAATATATATGCTGTAGTTTAATTTATTCTTTCTTCATTTCGTTTTTTCCGTGCATTTTGTTTATCCGACTTACATTTTTGAATAAAAAAAAAAAACCCCTACTATAGCATGGTTTCTTTATAATATATATTATTATAATAATGTATGCATAGAACGAAGAAGAAAATACAGGACACATTATAAAAAAACCACAGAAAATAAAAACCGAACTACACATATAAACGATAGCTCTTATAAGTATATTTTACTGTGTTATAATTGTTATTATTATAAAAAATTTAAAAAAAAACACCCGTACTTGCGTTACATACGAATATAATAGTGTAATAATGTATATTTCACATTGTATGTGGAATCTATCGTACGTACCAATGTTAACATATAATATTATATATATAGGGTGCCGCACGTACATTTCTGTTGCGGACGACATTATGAATGAAAAAAAAAAAAAAAAAATTGTTACGTATAAATATTGTTAAACATATATACCTACCCCTGCTCGCCAGCTACCCTAGACTATATTACTGTAAGTACTAGGTACATATACGCGAAAACACACACAAGCACATCCCGGGACCCGTTTATACCTTGTAATAATATAATAATAACACCGTCCCGGCGCAGTGTGCGTATAGTGTATACGAGCCTGTCACGAACATTATAATATTATTATTATTATTATTATAGAGTCACGTCAATCTATACGATATACGATATATACCGTATATATATATATTATTATATACTTACACACGATAATAACGAAAAACGGTGTTTTTATTTATTTCGATCGAATTATTGTATTAATATTACACACTTACTCGCAGGGTCTTTCGACTACTTTTCCTCCCCCATCTCCCGTCCGCTCGTGTCCCGGCCCTCATTTCACCCGAGAACTGCGCGTTCGCCAATAATATATTATAATATCATTATACTCCGTAAAACCCACCTAAAGTATACATTTTTATTTTTTATTATTATTTACATGCCGATTATAATAGCTTAATATGACGTACAAGTAAGTATACAATATTATCTACCACACAGCACCCTCTGCTCGCATCGGCTCTCCGATATAATATGATAATTATTATACTCGCGTATACATAGGTATTTATAGGTCGACTGAATAATAATGTTAGTATAACGACTTTATAATACTATGATTATTATATTCATCGCTTATAAGTTATACTATTATTATAACTCGAGTGTATAAGAGATACTCATTATACGTTATTATGACGACCTCTTAAAAATCAATACATACTATCGCGGCATTGTACAGTGTGAGTTACTTGTACACTGAAAACGAGGGCTATGGATAACGGAACCGCTGGTTCATGACCAAATTAATTGGACGAGTGGGCGAATGGGTAAATCTATTGTCATATATGTTTTATCGTTAGATGCATTGTCGTAAAAGATTAAGTACAGCCAGTGCAGGAACGTCTGTATAGTATGTCTTAGCTAGATGTCTAATTGGTTCTTCTGGACTTGGATTGTCTAAGGTTTTTTGAAACTTTAAGATAATTACTTCACTGGGAAAAAAAAACTTTGCGAAATTCATCACTTGGTATGACCGATATACTATCAAGAATCATAGTTTGTTGTGTCCACCTGTATAAAAACCTATATAGTGAAAATCTGAAATTCAAAATTTGAAACTCTGTAAAATCTGGACCATCGATTCTAAATCGTTTTTAGTTTTTTTAAACAACTATTCTACCAGAAATCTAGGTCCAATCAAACAATTTGCATTGACCAATTTTCTTATTTTTGTCGGGTACAAATATTTACGAATATGTCATTTTTGAATTCCCAGTTTTTACGCACTCAACGATTCAATTCATTCCAATCCATAAATTACCTATTATTGTAATAAGGTAACGTGTACCTGATTATCGTTCGTATTAAATTTTGAAGATCGCTACAGAAAAAAATGTATACGGCGTTATTTTCCTAGTTTCTTTTTACCGGTCGTTAATTTTACGTGTACTCAATACACATTTAAAGTACCAACTTCCACATCATAGCAGTTTCGGGTTTGGGCCAACAAGTAAGCTATAGGATTTTGTACCGAACAGGTATATTATAGTCCGCATAATTCGTGTTCTGATAACAATGCGAATACGTCGTATTCGACTGCAGCGTCTAGCGATTATTAAACCGTAAACAGTGAGTAAATGATGTATATATAGTCGTGGGTTCTAAATTCGAGTTTTAATAACGTCACTTATCCTTAATGATATACGATATTTAAAAAAACAACCGTTTGTAAAAAAAACTAATTGACGATCGATTAGAAAATATTTATACTATATTGTTTGATTGTTAATTATATGGGTAATTTAAGACGGATTACGCTTGAATAGGAATCGATTTTATTTAAATTGTGCATTAAATTTCAATATTGAATTTTTAATAATATTTCGGCAATGGTCGGTCTTTAATCCTAGTGTAATTATTATTATTCGTATTTAATTAACATTCTGTATACGCGACCGCGATGATGAGTGCAACAGCCGGGTTCACAATATACATCGAAATATTATTTTACTTCGTAAATACTGCAGCGTCATTTATATGTATATTATAATATTATAATATTATAATCCCGCTAGATTAATAATCTCGAGCAAATGTACATAATATTATAAAATAATAATTACGAGGGAAAAATTATTAAACTTTCATAACTGCGATGCTATTTTGCATTTAAACGATAACGTTAGATATTATTTCATGTTCAGCACGTAAATACACGTCCGTGAAGATATTCGCCTGATATTAATATTATGATGTTTCATATTATTCGATATGTAAACGAAGTTTCTTTAATTTTCTCGTTTTTAAAAAAAAAAACCGTTTGTAAGATATAACCAATCAACGGAAAAACGCGAAAACAATATATTTGTATTTAAGGCTAATAATATGTGTATGCACCAAATATTTTTAAAAACTTTTCAAATTTACACTATAAAAATACTAAAAAACAAATCGTATTATTACATTTAGTTTTTCCGTATAATTACCATCTTGAAAATATCTTAAAAATGAGCGGAATCCTTAAAATATGCCCTCGAAATCCAAAAATGTCGCATTATGCAAAATAAAATGTTGTGTGTCGAACCGTTGTCTCATGAAACACATTTTGGTATAAAACTAATCGGTTTTTTGGTCATTCAATAAAAATATGCGAAATTATCTGAATATCAGCCCTATAGTAATATTATATTATGTTTCTGCGAGCTATCCGTTGAACAAATTTTAAGAAACCGGTCGGTGCAATGTGCATAGTATATATATATATATATATATAAAAGTGTATAAAGATAAAATAATATTTTAGTACACCCTAATATGTATAATACTGCCAGAGAAGTAAACTAAAGTGTGTATAGTGATCCCGGGGTCGTTTTGGATCCCCTCCGAGAACTATCCGCGAGATTTAGAGTGTGGTGATGTCGGGGAGAAGGATGTAATTGTAATAAGTACTCGAGCTGCCCCCTCGTAGTTGTACGTATAATTTGTCACCACGACTTAAACGACACCGCGGTCTCTTAGCGCGAGAGACCGCAAACGGGAATAATAATAATAAAACAAAAAAAATAACTCTCGTTTATATTATCATCGTTCTGTTTATTCGTATACCATATACTATGCGACGAGAAAACAGGTGCGTTATAATCGTGACGTTGTAGTCTTGAAGTGTAGTCTCTAAATAACAGTGGTTTTCAAACTTTTTTGGCCACGGCACCCTGTGATCTTTTTATCTATTTTGTTTTTGTCATTGTTTAATTTGTTTGCACAAAATTAGTTTAATGAGTTGTTACGACTTCATAGTTGTTACGGCAATCATCCAATTTTAAAACCACTGCTCTATGGCTATATTAATTATATAAATAAACAAACGTATAGTAATCATTCTCTCGTAACCGTTGAAATGTTGTGTATAAATATATATATATAGGCTATGCCGATAAAGAAAGATAAGAGATAATCACTAAAATAATAATTGACTAGATTGTCAGATGTACATAAAATATATAAAAACATTAAAGTATTAATAGATAGAGTCGATAACTTTTTATCTATAGGTACCTATGATACATATAAAAAAAAGATGAAACACGTGATCAATGTAACGTAATGGTATTTGTTAACAGTCTTTATCAAATAGTATTTTTCATTATGTACATATAAGAAATAACATGTTATTTTCTATGCTAATTTTTATGTTAATTTTCATTCATTATCTATCAAAGTGCTAATAAGAGTAGGCACATGTATATAGACTTAAAAAATGTTTCAGTGTGATGGATATAACTTATTAATTAATTAACTAAATACCTAACCTTACCTATTACTATTAATAAATATATAAATTATGATTTTGAAATATTATGATCCTAAAGAAATGTATCTAGACGGTTCAATTATTTATCTCGAATAACGGCTCAGGTAGACAGCTGAGTTACTTAAACCTATTATTAATCATATATCTAAATGAAAATATATGATATACCTACCCAAAAAAAAAAAAAAAAAAAAAAAAAAAAAAAAAAAAAAAAACAAGTAATTTAATCGAGTTAAAACCGATATAACAACAATACATAATGTACTAC